CTTTCTATCAGTAAATTATTTCACTTAAGATAATGGCCTCCAGTTCTATCCAGGTTGCTACAAATGACATGATTCCATTTGTTTTTATGGCTGAGTAGCATTCCATGGTATATATGTGTGTGTGTGTGTGTGTGTGTGTGTGTGTGTGTGTGTGTGTGTGTATACTGCATTTTCTTTATCCAGTCACCCAATGATGTACACTTGGCTGATTCCATATCTTTGCTACTGTGAATATAGTACTGCGATAAACATATGGGCACAGGTATCTTTTTGATATAATGATTTCTTTTCCTTTGGGTAGATACCCAGATTGCTGGATCAAATGGTAATTACTGCCATAATGTTCTTGCCATAATGTTAATTGTTATCTAGTTGCTTTGTAGCCACATTTGTGTAATTGTTTAGTAAGACTCGTAAGTTTCAGTGTATTTCCCTGGAGTTCTGTTAGCCTCTTGCATCTGTATGTCTAAGTTTCTAGCAAGACTAGGGAAGTTTTCCTCAATATTTCCTCAAATAAGTTTTCCAAATTTTTTGCTTTTTCTTCTCCGTTGGGAATACCTATGATTTGTAGGTTTGAACATTTTAAATAAACCCATACTTCTTGAAGGATTTGCTCATTTTTTAAAGTTCTTTTTCTTTATTTTTGTCTGACTGGATTAATTTGAAAGACTTGTCTTCAAATTCTGAGATTCTTTCTTCTGCTTGGTCTATTCTATTGGTAAAGCTTTCAACTGTATTTTGTAATTTTTTCAACGAATTTTTCATTTCCAGAAGTTTTTTTAAAAATATCTATATGTTTTTGGTAAATTTTTCATTCATATCCTGAATTGATTTTCTGATTTCTTATGTTGATTTTCAGATTTCTGTTGGGCCTCTTTAAAATCATTATTTTAAATTCTGTATCTGACATTTCAAAAGTTTCAATTTGGTTACCAACCCCTCCTTTTTTTTTAAAGGGACAGGATCTCATTCTGTTGCCCAGGTGGAGTGCAGTGGCACGATCACAGCTTACTGCAACCTCAAATGCCTGAGCTCCAGTGATCATCCTGCCTCAGCTTCCCGAGTAGCTGGGACTACAGGAACATGCCAACATGCCCAGCTAAATTTTTAAAAATATATTTTGTAAAGACAGAGTATCACTGTGTTGCCCAACCTGTTCTAATACTCTTGGCTTCAAGTGATTCTCCTGCCTCAGCCTCTCAAAGTGCTGGGATTATAGGTGTAAGCCATCACACATGGCCTGGTTAAGATCCATTGACAAGAGAGTCGTTAGTATGATCCACTGGGGTGTCATCACACTGTTTTTTCATACCTCCAGAATTGTTATGCTCCTCTCATCTGGAGAAATTAAATCTTCTGCTTATTTTTGAATTTACTTTCATTTGGACAGGATTTTTTTTCCCTTTAGGATGTGACTATATTGTATGTTGTGTAGGGTTGTTTGATTTTGTTTCTGGGTGCTTTCAGTGACAAAGACTCTGTATGAATTCCTTGGTTGCAGATAACCTTAGTGTGGTGGTTATCTCAAATGCTGATTGTAATAGCGGTGTCCTGGTCATATGAGTATGCTCACTGCCTCCTGAGGGGCCAGCAAAGGTCTCAAGTAGTTTATCTTGCTCCTAAGCCCTGTGTACTTGTGTCAGTGGATTTTGCATTGGGTTGTGCAGTTCAACCTCCATGCCAGGCGGTGATAGCAGTAGTAGTTGGGTTTATACTTGATCTTTGTTTACCATAAGAAGCTCTCAATTGTTGCAGGCAATGGGCTGGTCTGTTCAATGCACAGTAGCCTGAGCTCCTTGCTCATCTAGGGGTTAGGTTAGGGGCAGAAGCTGGGCGGACCTGGACCAGGCAAGCCTACCTTGGGGTCCTCCAGTGGCATGAGCAAGCACCAGCCCCTGACAAGGGTAGTGGGAGATCTCCTGGTGAAACATACCAAGGTCTTAGCATGGCGGGGAGGGGGCTGCCATAGCACCACAGCCAGCGGGCAGGAACGCAATTTGTTTCCCTGTCACACCTGTCACAACCCCATCCCAGCACTCAGGAAGCTCAGTTCGATCGGACACTGCTGTCTATCTCTAGGCTGCAATGTCATAAAAGTCATAAAAGACACCTGCCCTGTGGCTCACTGCCAAAATGGCTGCGGTGCAAAGCCTCCTCTCTCAGCCAAAAATACAAAGCTCCCCAGCTCTCCTGCTCACCGCTGCAGGAACACTGCCACTCAATGTAGAGGTAGGATGGGGGCCCTGCCTTTCACACAAGCCCAGGCCAGGTGACCACACTGCCAGTGAGGATGCAATCACCCCTATGGGGCCCAGAAAGGCCATCCAGCATGGCTGTGCCAACTTTCCCGTGGGATCAGCCACAGATGTGTCTGCACCAGAGGGAAGTACCCTGGTCCACATCTGGGCCTAAGCACTGAGGCTGCTTGGCTGGCAAGATGGAATTATACTCCTCCCTGGCAGAGCCAAGCACAGCGTTTGTGTCTCTGATGGAAGCAGCACTGCCATTCCCAGCACACAAGCAGGGAGTTCTCAGCTCAGGAAAGCACACACTCTGGTTTCCTTAGTTCCAGGAGGGTGTTCGCTTGGTTTGCTACACTCTCCCTTCCCTTAGGAGAAGTACTCCCTGAGAGCTAGACCACAGGCAACCCTCTAGCTCCCTTGAGTCCAGCCAGCCTTGTGCAGATGCCACCCTCCAAGCAGGCACTGGAGAATGTCAATGGGGACACCTGTGATGTAGACACACAAGGGCTGAGGCTTCCTGGGCAGGACACAGTCCCCTGATGGCTGCATCCCAAGTATGGCGCCCTGCTGCCGATGCTCAAATCCAGGGGGAGTTCGAGCCACCCAGCCTAAGTTTGCAGTCTGGTACAATGCCCTCAAGATGTCCCCAAATTGCTGCCCACACCAGTTTGGTTTTTTGAGGGCAGAGGAGCTCTCCAACAGTTTGGATACCAGCAGTCCACCGTGGGTGAAAGGAGAGCCAAAACACTCCCACAAAATACCAAGTCCCCAAGGTTCCCACCTGATCTCTGCCAGCCTCTTGCTTCCTTCTTTTTCTGTGCCCCAGTTTCTTCCCATGAATTCTCTGCTATGTTCTAGCACTCTCCTCTTGATATTCTATTCAAGTTATGATTATTCACTTGTAACTTCGGTTCTTTTTCCTGAGGAGAACAGGCATCTGACATCTCTAGTCAGACATATTCTACTGAATTTATTTTTAGTGTGCACAACTTCCTAAAGAAATGCATTCCAAAAATTAATATTCTATTATGTGACCTAACATTTTAGTATTTCCTTTTCTTCTTCCTAAACCTGACTCTCTAAGCTCCAAAAAAGCTATGTCATACAGCTACCTAGCTTTTAAAGAATGGGTCTATGTTCCCATTATCCATTTTACTTGTTCATTTATTCATTCATTTTTTTAAAATTCTATCTCCACTGGTTATTACCTTTCCATTTTTTTCATATACTTTGACCATTATAGTTGTCATTTTAGGTACTTCCAGTAGCCGATACTGCCAGCATCTATCCCATCCACATTGCCAAATCGTTCACCATTTCCTATACAGCAGTCTTCTTACTGTAAGCATTTGTGACAGACACTCAGTGTCTGAATACTTTCGCTGCTACAGGCACACGCGTGGCCAGTAAGTCCCAGAGAATTAACAACCCCTGCACCAATATCAAAGGAGAGTTGATGGATAAATACTCTAGCTTCCTTGCCCGTTATGTGGGTTAACTCTGAGGTCATTCTACCTTGTCTCCCAGAAGCCCCCTTAAGATTAACACAATTGCCAAAAGAGGTAACCAGTTCTTGAATGCACCCAGTATTGTGTTTTGTATTAACTGAATGGTTTTAACCTTCCCCTATAGGGGGTATCTGGGATTGCCTTCAAGATAAAACTGCACTCAAATCTTTTTCATCTTAAGATGGATCTCAATTTAAGACAGTCCTCTAACCTTAAAATCTTGAGTTCCTGATATATTATCCTGAGACGTGTAAACAGTATTCCAGCCATGAAACCACCACGGTTTTCCCCAAAGATAGGATTAAATGTTCTCTTTTACTTTTACTACTTTGCAAAAGAACTGGTGCAGCCATCATTTTATTATTCTCTCAAGACATAGCAACACAACAAGATGATAACTTTAGGCACTATCTAAAGTGACTCCCAATTGTCTTACTTATAACTGATACCACCATGCTGTAAGTACAATTTATATTTGTTTTTACAGAAATGCATGACTTTTGTACTTATTCATGTAGAAATGCACCTGCCACTTCTGAGCAATAGAAATAGTATAAATCACACTTTTAAAATATATTGTATTCAAACAGAGTAATAGGTATAGAAAAATAATCTTCCCATGAAAATCTTTCCTTTCCCCCCTTCCAAAGGAAGAAATTAAGAACTCTATATACTATTTTTAAGAGTCTTACCCTTTAAACATACACAAACTCATAGAACTAAGTCAAAATAGTTACAAGAGTTAGCCCATGGATATATCCATCTCGTGAAACTTCACTATAAACCCGCTGTTTGATATGCATTTACTTGCTTCAAAATCCACATCACCCTTCAGCCCAGGATAGAACCTTTGGAGGTATTGTTAACCTCCTCCATTCTCTTAACTCCCACTTCCAGTTAGTCCCATCAATTCGAGCTGCATAAAGTGTCTTAAAATCAACTCTTCTTCATTCCCAGCGCTCCTTTCCTATGACAGTAACCTCCTATGTAAGTTCCCTGTTTTATTTCACTTGTTTATTCTCGGAAATCTATCTGATAACCTAACATTCCCACATCAAACTTAAGATAGTTCAAACCTATCACAGCTCTAAGTCCTGAACATCACATATGGCATTTACAAAAAACATATGAAAATTTACATTACATTTAGGCTTCTCACTGTTGCCTAAACATTTCACGTATTTTTATTTCAGTTTGGAATGAAGATTAAAAAGAATACATTTACCTAAAAAGTAAACAAAATGTTTACCTGTCTGAAGCTATGTCACTGGCAATTTGGTGCTTCACGCCTGACCCATTTTTAATAGAATCCTGTCTTGTGAGCCCATGAGATCGACTTTTCTCCACTGCAGGTACAGATAAGTCACCTGAGGGTCCTTGGAACTGGGCCTGCTCATGTAGTTTTGCTTTCTTCTCCTGAGGAGCCTCCTCATTTCTCAGTCCTCGAAGAACCTTTTGGTCAGGTTGCTGTGGGGTATTAGATCCACTATTATAAAACCACGCTCCTGATTTAGTGAGGATTTCTTGTTGTTTTCGGCACAAATTACATACCCACATAACCTGTACATGAAGACATAGGGAAAAGAAATTAGTGTTCCCAAAAGTTAAAAACAAACAAAAAGAGAGACAAAAATTCAAGCCAACAAAAAATTACATGGTTATCCTTCTGAAGTAATCCAAATTATCTACTGCCATAAATTAAACAATTTATCTTTTCCTTTAATTTTGTCAGAATAATTCTAACAAAATAGACAACATTTAATATACAGTAGAAATACCAAATTAGAGTGACAAATTACTGATTGCTCATTTGTATTCTTTATTTTTTATTTAAATTAGAGGCATGGTGTAATATACAGAAAATGGATTTTGAAGCTAGACAGTTGGCTTTAAATACCAACTCCAAGATTAGAAACTTAGCAATCTTCAACAAGGTACTAAACCTTCGTATCTATAAAACTTAGTTTCCTTAATGGTAAAATAGGGAAATAATGGCTGGGTGCAATGGCTTACGCCTGTAATCCTAGCACTCTGGGAGGCTGAGGCAGGAGGATTGCTCGAGGCCAGGAGTTCAAGATCAGCCTGAGCAAGAGCGAGACTCCATCTCTACTAAAAATAGAAAACTTAGCCAGGTGTGATGGCGACCGCCTATAGTCCCAGCTACTTGGGAGGCTGAGACAGGAGGATCACTTGAGCCCATGAGTTTAAGGTTGCAGTGAGCTGTGATGATGCCACTGCACTCTAGAGCGACAGAGCAAGACACGGTCCCAAAAAAAAAGGGGGGCGGGAATAAAGATGATGATACCTATTTTCCTGTATTGTTTTGAGGACTGAAGATTAGAAATAATTTATATAAAATGTCTAGTGCATTACCTGGTATATATTAGACTTCTAGCAAATTAGCTGTTAATATTAGGTTAATCTTACATTACATGCTTAAAGGCATTTTTATTTCTTTTAAGTAGTTCCTAAGGGCTACTTAACATTGTTGATCCTCAATAAAAACCTATTAATTGTTCATAATTTGTAGTAAGACATTTGATTTTTTTTATTGTGGTACAAAACATATAACACAAAATTTACCATCTTAACCATTTTTAAGTACACACTTCAGTAGTGTTAAACATATTCACATTGTTGTGAAACATCTCCAAAACTTTCTTCCAAAACAGAAACTCTGTACACCCATTAAACAGCATCAACCCTTTTCCCTTCCCACAGCCCCCATTAATGGCCATTCTAATTTTGATTTTTTAATAGATATGTTTTTAAGACTCCAGAAATCTAAGTATATTATAATTAATGTCTTTGTGACCAGAAAACCTTTCATCTTCTTCTGAAAAACCCTTTTTAATTAATCAGGAAAAAAAATCATATTGTCATGAAATAAAATGTGAGTTCATATTTCAAGAGAGTGTTTGCTGAAATTTTATGTCAATAAATGAATCTTACATAGCCCTCTAGGTTGCTAAACAGTTTCTCACATTTAAATAAATTATAACACTATAGATAATCACAGTAAAAGAAAGGTTCAACAATGTGTTTTCAACCAATACAAGGAGGTTTTTGTAAAATACCATTTAAATTTTTTCTTTAACTCTCCATCATTCCAGTTCATATTATTTGTACAAGTCTTATCACACAACATCGTACTTGATGACTTTTTAATTATTTTGTCCTCTCATTGAATTGTATATATTCGTTTCTGTTTTCCTCAACTAAATTTGAAACTCACTGGAGGCATGGACTATATCTTATACCAGCACAGTAAGACTTTATAGATCATAGAATAGTAAGATCTTCTAAATGTTTGCTAAATTGAATGTTTTTGAAGTTCTTCTGGTAATAATATGATAAGATATTTGATATTATTACACCAGTATTTGTTTCATCAATTTCCAAAAGAATTAGTCATCAATAACATCAATATAGTGCCTATTTTTATAAGTAAATAAGAAAGCATTTTTGACATGAAAATACCAATATCTCACTCAAATCTTGTAAAAATAAATACTTCATAGTTCAAATTTCTTTTTCTATGATTAGTTTGAATAGATATGAAATATAAATATATCTAACCCAACAGTAGTCTCAAAAATCAAATGTCAACCAAAATCTTCAGCCTTTTGATGCCATCTTGTGACAAATGTAGGTATTGCAGATCTCCTTTAAAAGTGAAAGGCACACACTATAATAGAACCACAAATACATGAAGTTTGAATTTCAATTTTTCTGCTTTAAACAAATTACTATTCATGCTTCAGTGATAATCTATGTTAGATGCATATAAGATATTAATATATCTAGAATAAGTCACAGACTATTGAAAAATATCATCCTATTGAGCCTGGTCATTAACAATGAAATAGAAATGAGTTTGTGACACAATTATCTAATCACTATCATCTCAGAAACAATCTTTTGCTGCTTCATTATTTGTCACAAGGTAATCAGGTTACTTAACCTCTTTTAGAGAGCAGAGATTCTCAAAGAATATCTCTGAGACAGTAGCATCAATCTCACTTGGGAACTCACTAAATGTGCAAATTCCCAGGTCCCACCTCAGACCTACTGAATCAGAAACTCTGGGACAGGGCCCAGCAGTTGTGATTTATTTATTTATTTATTTGGGCCAAATACTCCAGGTAATTCTGATGTTTGCTAAAGTTTGAGAACCACTAGCCTAAGACAGAAATTCCCATGTTAGATAGGTTACAAGTGTGCTCCTCAGAGTAGCTATGTAAGGCCAAAGGAGTCCAACAGCAAGCAGCCTTGTAAGTTGACCTTTGTGTGAACTATTGATTGTACATTCAGTATCATTTCTGTGTAGCCCAAAATGAGAAAAAGGCTCGGAAGCACTATGGGCTTTGTTTTTCCTCATGTGTTCTTCTTTGTTTTCCTCATAGTTCCTGGACTAGCCACATTGGTCGTTCTGACTAGATTGTTGCCTCCTAGACTGCTGGCTCCTACTATCTTCATATTCACATTCTAAACCCAAGTTACCTTTCTGTTCTTTTTTTACTATCTCTTCCCACTCTTGGATTAATAATTTATTAATCTATAAATCTCAGGAATCTTAAATCCACTCACATCAAGTACAGTCATGTACTTCATAATGACGATTTGGTCAACAACAGACTATATATACAACAGTGATCCCATTAAGATTATAATATCTTTTTTTACTATACCTTTTCTATGGTTAGATATATTTAGATACACAAATACTTACCATTGTGTTACAACTGCCTACAGTACTCAGTACAGTGACACACTGTACAGGTTCGTAGCCTAGGAGAAATAGGCTTTACCATAACAGCCTAGGTGTGTAGCAGGCTGTACCATCTAGGTTTGTGTAAGTACACTCTATGATGTTTGCAGGATGAAATCACCTAATTATGCATTTCTCAAACTGTATCTCCATCATTAAGCTATGCATGACTATAGTATATAGAATTGACACTTTTACTTGCAGCCCTTTATATACATAGCAACTTAATTTATAAATTAATGACACTGAACTACATCTCACAAACACATACACATATACATGCTGTGAAATGACTTTTTTTAATTGGCTATGAAATAATTAATGTCTGTAACTAATTTGGGAATAAAATTATAGGACATTTGCTAATGGAACCCTTTAACCAATAAAGTTAACACTCAACTGTATTTTGTGATGAATACTGTTAAAAATATCTCAGAAATATGTATGCCTATAAATCTCCATGGCTAGAGCCTATTATAATAGTTTTGTTGACCCTCATAATTAGCAAAAACATCTAGGCCCTAAGAATACAAAGACATACAGGATTCAAAATCATAAGGTGTTATTACATTCTGTCCTAAATATGCCAAATTTTTAAAAGTAATATAGCAATATTAAGAGAGGGAATAATCTCTAATGACCCAAATTTATCAATTATTACCATATGTTTCATTCCATAACCATCCTTATGGGGTTGAAAGAGAGGGAAAAAAAATAAGGAAAATACAAATATCTTCTTAAAACCACAAAAATGATAAGCACAACAATTACACTGAATAGTCAAAGAAAGCAAAAAAAAGTTGTGTTAGATGCATACAATAATTTAAATAGATCTAAAGGTCTGCAAAGTTTGTGATTTTCTTCTAAACACGGATAAAAAATAATAGAGTAATACAAAGACTGGTGCTAATGAGACCATAGGCCAAGCTCATACGATCCAGCTAACTGTACAGAAAAGAGAATTTATTAGACTCCACCTCTAACCATTATCAACCAGCTTATAAATGTATGTATTTGTCGGAGAGGAAATAAAGTGGAAGAGTGTAAATTGATCAATATAACTAGCACATAACTAGAAAATTGTGGAAGATTCTAGTTAGTTACTCAACAAATTTATTTCTTTTCCTCTTACAAAACTACATTTCCCATATAATTAGGTGCAGATATGGCCTTACAACTATATTCTATAATCCATTGGATTATAAGTAGAAAGATGTATGCCAATTCCACGACCTTTAAATTTCTTTTTTTTTTTTTTTTTTTTTTTTTTAGTAAAGAGATTTCATGCTCTTTACTCAATACCTTGGAGATAAAGAAGTCACAGAAAAAAGGAGCCTGAGAACCTAACTGAGCTCTTCGGAGGATAACCCTCAGCTGATCAGCTACACCAGTGTAGACTTCACATAGGTGAAAAACTTCTATTATGTTGAGCTTCAAAGATTTTTTGAGTTTATCTTTTATAGTTGACAGCATTACCTTTAGTAATTCACAATCTTTTTAAAGTACATGTTCTGCTGAATATGTATCATTTGTATGTGAAGAACAATGTATTACTAGAACATGGATATTAAAGAACTTCAGTGTTGTTCACTGACTCACTAGAACCAATTTTGCACACTTCTTCCCAACTCGACATTCCATGAAGTAATGTGGGTTAGCTTGAAATCAGCCACAGTGGGTGTATTTAGACAGAGGAAATTGGAAAATGCCACAATCAGAGCTTTTTCTAACAGAGAACTGGTTGTTAGCATTTACAAGCACACCACTGAGTATAATATATTCACTACAT